GTGTGTGTGTGTGTTTTCCAGGTTAATGGCGTTAACATCGAGGGCATGCGGCATGCAGAGGTGGTGGCCTTCATCAAGAAAGGGGGAGATGAAACCTGGCTGTTGGTGGTGGATCCAGAAACAGACGAGCACTTCAAGAGGAGGGGATTGATCCCCACAGTCAGCCATGTAAAAGGTGGGATTGTGCTACATCAGGCTATTTGATGGGCTTGAATTTCCAAGAAGCCCTGTTGAGGAAGCACATGGCAGATATTTTATTGCATTATTTTGGTGAACATTTTTTCAAAAAAGATGTTTATAGTTTTTATAAACTAGATAGAGCTTTCTTCTTTGTTAGAAGACAGTCACAAAGATAGCCTGTTTAAACAAAAAAGCTTTAACTACTTATTAAAAGACTCTACGGAGTCAACTTGTAGTAATAGATTGTTCCACGGTTTTGGTGCCACAGGCTGAAAGGCTTTGTTATCCCCTCTCATCTATTTAGTCATGTACAGGGAAAACTAACAAATTCAGAGCCTGTGAATGAAGACATCAAGCAGCAGTGCAATTTGTAGGTAGATGACATAAATAATCCGGAGCCTGGCCATTTAGTGCTCTGTTTGTAAATATAAGAATTTTAAAATCTCTTGGGAGCCAATGTAAAGAGGATAAAATGGGAGTGATGTGAGCTTACTAGAACCTTTTAACAGGATGGCCACAGTATTTTGTATCGCTTGGAGAGGTGAAAGAGATGATTTGTCCAAGAATGTAAGCATTACAGTAATCTAAACACGATGGCACAGATGGATGAATATTTTTCTCCCGTTCACCTGAGGAGACCATATGTTGCAATTTAGAAATGGTCTTTAAATGAAAAAGGCAATAAAGATAAAGATTTTTCATCCAAGTTAAAGCCCAGGGAAGAATTGTTGAGCCTGGCATATTTTATGATCTTGGTCTTGGTGATATTTAAAACAAAGTAATTGGTAGAGAGCTAATGACTAATCTGTGTTAAACAGTGGACTAGGAGAACCTCACCTGTCCAGCTGGTGAGGTTTTAAAGGGATATAAAGCTGAATGTCATCGACGTAAAAACATTTGATAAGAAAAATCAATAAAAGATTGAAGGATGCCAGCTAAAGTATTTAGGATTTAAAAAGAAAAATACTAATTACCCCATGACTAAACCTTGTGGAGTCCCACAGTTTAGGGAGGCAATGTTAGAGGTGCACTTGCCAACCCTAACAGAGAAAGACCTATCAGATAAGTAAGAGGAAAACCAATCTAACGCAGAGCCAGCGATACCAGCTAAAACCTTAAGCCTATAAAGTAAGATGTTACAGTTAATGGTATTAAAAACTGCACTGAAGTAAAATCCATAAGACGCCATAAAAAGATCATTATACACCTTTAAAAGAGTGGTGGCAGTGGAGCGCTGCTTTTTACAGCCAGACTAATTTGGCTTTAATTTGTTCAGGTCATCTGCTTAGCACTGACTAAAAAGTCTAGCATACACAAACAAATAATTTGGGGTATCTTCCTATGTAAAGTTAGTTTTTTTTGAACAATTATTATCAAATAATGACAAAAGTAAAGACAAGCACTATGTCAAATAAGCCGTGGGCTTGGAAAACACTTCCTTCATATGTGAATGTTTTCGCAGACTATGACGGTCCATCCATATCCAATGGCTCCCCCAGTCCTCAGATCAATGGCAGCTCTACCACTCAGTCCATCCGGTCCACGCATTCTGACCTCAGCAGCCAGGGCAACAGCACGCAGGTGGATGTGAGCATTCGTGCACAGTGACATGTTTGGGCTTTGTACCTCCACATAAAAGCCTCTACCCTAATCCTTTGTTTGCATCTGTCTGTCTCATCATTTCTAGCTGGCAGATGATGAAGGTGGCCAGCTGTCTGACCCCTTTGCCGAGATGGGCCTGAGTCTCAGTGCTACGGCGGCAGAAGAAAAGAGGAAGGTCCGTGGTAAAGAAAAGAGGAAGGCCCCGCAGATGGACTGGACGAAGAAGCATGAGCTCTTCAGCAATTTCTGAGACATTCTGCTCTAAGGACACGACAAAGGACAGAGATTTATGCAGATCCCTGAATGGGAGACTTATCCTCTTGATATACAGATTCTCTTCTTCTTAGACAAAAAACCAAGATAACCCTTCAAACAGAAGATATTTTCATCCTGGGATTTAATGTGACAGAACTGTTCGAAGGATTTTACTTCTTAAGTGACTTAATAGTTCCTTTTCGTTCAAGTCCAGCATAAAGGAAGTGCTATATGACTTTGTGACTGCAAAAAATATGCTCAGAAGGGAACTTTGTCCTTACATGTACTGCTGTCCTTGGGGAAAGTGCAGTCAAATATTCACAAATTTGCCTTTGTCTTTACTTGATTATCCCATTCTCCCTACTCCTAGAGACTCTTTTTGACAGCTATTTTTATATTTAAAAAGTATAAGCGACTATGATTAAACAGTATCCCATCATCGTGGACTGCGTTTGAGAGACTTTTGAGGACACTGTGACATGAATGATTGTGGATAATGTGGGGATTTTGTCCCACAGAAGTCATAAGAAGCCCAAAGTTTGACAGAAGATCACTGTGAAAGAGTTGAGACCCTCCACCTTCAGCCCATTGATCCCATGTTTGATTGTAACCACTGATAAAGAAAATGATAGTTGAGCATAGTGTATCCTACGTGTATTCGTACCTTTACTTTGAGTCGATTACTTTGATTTACGAATCCCCTACTTGTTATTTAACCATTAGTCGTAATAAGTGTATCACCACTAACCTCTATTTACAAAGTGCTCCAGTGCACACATGCATAACAAAGGGAGGCACCACTATTATTAATTGTGTTATTGAAGGAAATAATAGGCATGAAAAGTGAGGGAGTTTCTCAGGGGAAATAGTGTGAGGGATGAGTTTTGTTGTTGTTATTGAAGGCTCGATGTGTACAGCAGGGGGCAAACTTACACCATGAATAGAGACCCCCTTTTGACACTAAACGGAATAGATGTTTATCCAGACTTCATTCATCATCTTAAAATGTCCCAGAAACATTAAATAATTCAGATGAAGTGGAGAAAATAAACTTTAGATAATTTGAAGATGTATTTGTATTAGACAGCATTATTCAGATTTAATGTGAAGTGGCCTACACTTTATGAGCTAGTTATGTTTTGTTGGACTTTGATTCAAAGGTAAGTTGTTAAATATGAAGGTATGAAGCTCAGCATCATTTTATAAGTAGCTTTGGAAGGGAAATGTAATTGCTGGCCACGTGCTAATAATCAGTCAGTATTAACTATAGTATTGTCTTGTAAATGTGAAGTTTATCAAGTTGATTTGTGCTCAAGGAAGGTCAATATTTTGTGACAGTGCTGAGAGAAACCCCTGAGCCACCTTTCATTTTTTTCTACATTTTGCTAGGAAAATAGGAAATGTACACAGTGATTTAACAAAACATGCAAATATACTTGTAAATACAGTATGTAAGGCAAAAATTCTGATGAGAGTGTAAGTCAATATTTTGTATGACCACCTTTATTTTTCAACATAGCCTGAATTCTTTTAATCCGGTCTTTAAGTCTGACGTCACTAGCCGTGTCTGGGCTCAAACTTCGCTGCAGGTCCCAAAGTCAAATGATCACTATGGCATCACTGAGAGTTGAAAAACTGTCTAAAGTCTTTCATCTGTAATAAAATGATCAGCGTTCTGCTCTACCAGGTGTAACATTGAGTTTATCATCCAAGCATCCGTGAAAACGGAATTTATGAAATTTAACGGAGTAGAAATTAGCAGGAAGTTAGCTCGCTAGCTTCCATCTAAATACAATATAACATGTCCTGACTGCGGGACTTTGGAAACAAATTCAAACGTACGGCTCTGTTATCACTTCCAACATAAATGAAGACAGAAAACTAAACAGCAGTGAAGTTTGTAGGGTTACTGAAGTTTGGCTAGCTGGTATATAATGATGTGCTACGTGACCGCTAGCGACACAGCTATGTGAGCACACACTAACGTTTGTCCACTCGATAAAAGTTAACGTGAGTGTTCTCGGTGGTCAGGAACAAATGTAATCACATGGCAGGATGCTGTAAACGGACCAAACTTCAGCCAGGAGAACGACTGAGATAATCAATCCACAATACAAAGTTAGTCATTCATATACTGCTGCATGGGCTGGGCTGTAGTTACATCGTAAGATTTTAAAAACTGAGCTTAGATAAATAATTAGCGGTAATAAAAGCCGAGGGATCCCAACAGTGATCACTGACTGTTTTAGGAGCTTTTTGAGATTAAATAGAAGAAAATACAAAACATTAAACATGTTAACAACACAAAAGCCATATTAAACACAGACTACTTTAGGCCCGGAAGTAGGATTCGTCACGTCATCACTTAACGACTGGATAGCTTTCTTGTCATTTCTTTCTTCTTTTCTTTTTTTTCTCGATAGGTTGAAAGTAACAAAGTGTCTAAAGATATCATTTTAAACTGGTTCTTTGCTAAGTTGTCTGTCATGTCTACATACAAGATTGGTTTATCCCTTGAGTTAGATGCCTTTTTTAAGCTTGAATGAGTCATAGGTCAGTTTTAAGTGCTTAACAAAAAAAAGAAGGTACAAAGACTGGACTGAAAATGATTGAAAAAGCAGCCAATTTCAAAAGAAGAGAGAAAAATTACAAGAAAATTGGGTCTATGAAAACAAAATGTGAAAAAATGAAGGGTGGCTCAAGTCTGTTGCACAACTCTGTACATTTTCCTGCTTCCGGCCAGATATAAAGCAACTGTGTCCGGAAGGAACAAATTCACCTAGAAAGCCCACTAATTAACTTGTGTGGTCTATTTTAATGATATGTTTTCTTTTTAATGAGCTTTTGAGACAAACTGGACAAAAGATGAGAGCCAAAACACTTTTGTTTTTATCTCTTTAACTGCACATCACTAGGCTAGCTGTTAATGTATTTGTGCTAAGCTAAGTTAGCCAGCTACTCCCTATAGCTTTCTATTTTACTTACAAACAACAGAATGGCATCTATCCTCTCACAATACAAAAACTAAAAGTATGAGTATTTACCATAACATTGAACTATTTAATGTTCAGCTTTTCAATATAAGAGGATCCATGCAAGTACACTCGTAGAGATTGCATATGAAGCTAAATATCTGTATGTATGTATTCTGTAAGTGACAGCCCTGCTTGACGACTGCAAGAAGACAGTACGTTGGAGTCATGGTATCTCTCACCTACAGCTTGAGCAGTTTGTGTGGTGTATTGTAGGTTGTAGGGAGTGTCAGAGAAGCACACATTGAGGTCAGAGATGCTCTGGAGGATCTAGTGGAAGAGACTGTGGGAGCCATGGAGCTTACCGAGGATTATTACACATACAGGGACAGCTGTCATACACATGCTCACACACGTTGGGTGCACAATGTGTGTGGAGAGGAGTTATACATGCCATAATCCAACCAATATTGATATAATGTATGACAGCAAGTGGATTTCTGTTCTCATTCACGACCACAGTCTTTCCACACAGTGTCGTGATTCATCTTCAGTGTCTGTCTGTGTGCGCTGTAGGGCTCGCTCTGTATGTTCTGACAATCAGCAAAGCAGTCTCTTGTTATTGCGGCTCATGTTTGTACAGTAAAAGAATACGGTATATGTGGCAGGTTGCTTTTTTTTTTTTTCAATAAAGTGTGACAATGGTGTTTCCATCACTCTCTCTAAGATGGATTTGAGCTTTGTTTTGACCTACGTTGTATCACTGAAACATTTCTTCTCTCTATTGGTGTTTTTTTTTATAGTCACAGTATCTCTCATTTGCTCCTCATTCCTCTCTTTCCCCCTGAACCCACTCGACCCTCTGTGGCCCAGGATTATGTGGGCATACAGTTTCAGTTTCAGCGTGTTGTCAGAATTCTCCTCCACCCAGCTGCTTTGAGCTCTTTGGGCTGACAAAGGTGAAACCGAGGTCAAAAGTGCGCTTGCGTGCACATGTGAGCGTGCATGGCGAATTTGAGGCTTTTGTGTGCACCGCTATCGTCTGCCTTGAAGAGAACGACCTTTGGCTGTAATTTTTTTCGCTCTTTCTTCACTCATTCCCCACAAAGTCTTCTTCTATGACTATTTCACCACGTAAGCAAAGCACAGGTTCATGATAAGCTACTTTTTGTATTAGTGAGAAATAGCCTTTTTTAGGGTATTGCAACAGTTCAGAACCTGGAGGTCTGGACCCCCAAAATAAATCTGGAGGGACACGAGAATATTAATTGTATATGAAATAACAAAACTAATATAAATCACATTTGGCTTTTCTCTAATCTTGGCTTTATATGTAAAAAATTTTGGCAATACATGCAACACTCAAACTTCAACATAAACAGTCACAGCCACTGCATTAGGTACACCTTGGTAGTACGGAGTTGGATCCCCTTTTGCCTTCAGAAGTCTCTTAATTCTTCTTAGCATAGATTCAACAAGATGCTGGAAACATTTCTCAGAGATTTTGGTTCATAATAACATGGTAGCGTCACAAAGTAGCAGCAGATTTCCCAGCTACTAATCTACTAATGTAGATCCGACCATTCCACCACATCCCAGCGATGCTCAATTGAGATCTGGTGACTGTGGAGACCATTTGAGTGCAGTGAACTCATTATCGTGTTCATGAAACCAATTAGAGACTTGAGCTTTATAACACGGAGCATTAGCTCACAGGAAGGAGCCACCAGAGGATGGTAAACTGTGGTCCTAAAGGGATGGACATGGCAGCATGGCATTTAAAAGATGATCGATTGGTACTGAGACACTCAAAGTTTAGTAAGAAAATATCCCCCACACAATTATATCACCAGCAGCAGACTGAACCACTTTACAAGGCAGGATGGATTCATGCTTTGATGCTGTTTATGCCAAATTCTATAATCAAAGCAGAATTTGAGGCTCATCTGACCATCCAACATTTTTACAGACTTTCCAGACTTTCCTGTTCTTGGCCAACAAAAACAGCCCCTAGTTTGATCTTCTGCTGCTTTAGCCCATCTGTTGTGTGTTCAAAGATGCTCTTCTGCGTACATCAGTTGTGATGAGTGGCTATTTGAGTTATTGTTGCCTTCCTATCAGCTTGATATGAACAATGACATAAGCAAGGCATTTTCATCCAGGGAACTGGATATTTTCTCTTTTTTATTTAGACCATTTAAACCCTAGAGATGCTTGTGTTGGGGAATCCCAGTAGATCGGCAGTTTCTGATCTACTTAGAAAGCCTGCCTGCCACCAATATTCAAAGTTACTTAAATCACCTATCTTCTTAATTCTGAAGCTCAATTGTAACCTCAGCAGTTCCTCCTGACTATGTATACACATATAAATGCATTGAGTTGCTGCCATATAATTAGATATTTACATTAACAAGCAGTTGAACAGTAATAAAGCGTCCAGTCACTGTATATTATTGTGGGTGTATGTAAATTCCCTTTATAATGAAAAAGAAAAAATAAATAAAGGGTAGTCCACTAGGGGGCACAACCAGGATTTAGGAATCCAGGAAGTAGGCCAAACCTTACTTGCTTCAGTCTGCTAGTACATCCAGTGCCCTACCTGATCTTTGTGAAAAGGCAGTGCTACACGTGGGCACATTATCAAACTCCCTGGAGGTTATGGCAAGGCCGAGCAGTGACGCCAGCACATCAAAGGACAGGCGCCGTTCAAAGCACTCTGCAATTTCAGAACAGTAAAAAAAAAGAAAGGAAAAAGAAGCAGGAGAACAGAAGCAGAGAATAGAGCCACAGGTGGGCACTTTCTGTTTAGCCGATGCAAGCATTTTTACCTACTACTGATGATAGATGATTGCCTGTCTTGCACCCTAGTTTTCTGTTCTCCTGCACTGTAATACCTCAGTGTAAACAGTTATTTTCACCTATTTGCAGCCTGTTCTTTTCCAGCCTTAGTTTATATTCTGTTCAGTGTGTGTGTGTGTGTGTGTGTGTGTGTGTGTGTGTGTGTGTGAGTGTGTGTGTGTGTG